ACGTGGCTTCTACTGGACTGGCCCCTTTGGGTCACATGAGAGAGCCATAAGGGCGCTGGCAGGGTCCCAACCCTCTGTCCAGCTGAACATCTGCCATGTATCATACACCCCTCATCCAACAGGGCAGCGGTGCCAGAGCCTTCCATTGGCTGCCGCATCCACCTTGAGGCTCTCGAGGTGCTGGAACTGGCAGTGCTGATCGTGCAGGCGAGTGCAGCCCGGGGGAGCTCCGGAACAGCCTTTGTTTCAGTGTAGCACCCTGTCACAGGCACTCTGGGCTGGCGTCATTAGAGCAGTTGTTAACCATGAACCCTCCTTGGCCAGCCTGTGCAGGGAGCCGCAGTGCATGGGATTCCCAGAAAGGAAGGATCTCGCTGTCAATGAATTTGCCGAGTGATTTGAGTGGCTCTGGGGTCGGTTGTGCCCAGCACTGCGGATCCTACGGAGAACACTGAGCCCACGTGCTGTGAAACATCACCGCTGGGACGGGGACCTGGGGAGGAGGCACAGCTCCGAACTCAGCACCTAGGTTCTTCAAAGCCCAAACCTGCTGTCCCCGCAGCTGGGCTCTCTCAGGGGCGCTGCTCCCTACAGCCTCTGGCTTTGACGTTATAACTTGGTGGGTGAAGAGTGGCTGGCAGCCAGCCCCCCTCTGCACTGGTGGTGTGATCGGCTGTCGGTGTGGTTCCCCCTCGTCTCTGGAAGGAGAGGTGTGTCACACTGTGGTATGATGGCTGGGCATTTGTATCTAGTGCCCTCCCTCCCCCTCGGGCTGCCTGCTGTCCCAGGCTCTGCTGCTACCATTGTGTGACCTTGGCAGGGTGCACCCAGCCCATGCCTCAGTGTTCCCAAGTATGAAAACTGGGGTCAAACCCCCTTTGCAGAGCACTTGAGGGAAGGTGCTCGGGGGGCAAAGCATTTCTGCATTACCAGGGCTGGAAGTGTGTCTGTTGGGTCTGTGGAGATCCCATGTGGGGTGGACAGGGGAGCGGGCTCTGGAGGGGTGTGGTGGGGCTGCCCAGGTTCTCTGCGCTGGGTTCTGCAGGAGCCCTCGGGCTCTCCGGCTTCGGCCCTGTTCTGCTGCTTGTTCATTGATTCTAAGGGGACCAACGCCGTCACTGGGCCTGGCCTCCTTGCTGAATGGGCACACGCCATCGGCTGGGGAGTGAGGGCTGGGGGCAGGCCGCCGCTGAGCGTTCCAGGCAGCAGTGAGCTGCATGCATTGGGGTCGCCACAGCAGAGCGTGGGTGCTCTCCGGGCACTATGGCCCATGCTCCGGAGAGAACATAAGGCCTTCGTTGGGTACGCAGCAGGTTACCCTGTCCCCTTCCCTCTCCTGTCCTCAATCCTCCTCCTTCCCCAGAACCCGCTTCCTGAGGCCCCAGCATGCTATGGGGGAGGCAAGCTGGGTGGAGGTGGCTGGGCAGTGTGGAAGGGCCCACAGTCCTGTGCTGTCTGCAGACCTGGCCTGCTCCCATCTCTGCCATTCTGGGCCAGCAGGAGAGAGGAGGAAGCCGTGGGGGCAGCTGCAGAACAAAGGGTGCACCCAGCCCATTAAAATCGGCTGCATGTCAGCTGCCCGAGAAGGTTACGTTCAGAGCTGGGTAGTGCCCATGGGGCGAGGAGCTGCAGGGCCATACAGAGCATCCACTGGAGCAAACCCAGCAGGATGAGCTGTGCTCTCCCTTGGCGTGGGGGCTGGGTGCCACTGCCATGGAGCAAACGAGCACATGTGTGGTCTGCTTCCATTGCACCCCGGCACATTGCAGGGCTGCGTGTGGGACCCAAGGAAGACCCGGACACAGCCACGCTCACTGGGGCAGCTTGCTGTGTCCAGCAGGGGCAGCGCAGGGGTGGGCAGCATGAGCTCACCAGTGCTCGTGGCTCCTTGGGGTGATGGATGCCTGTGGCTCCCCGAGACACTGGGGCAGTGGCTAAGCTGGGAACACCTTTGCAGGCAGAAGCTGTTCTCTTGGGAAATGAAATCTCTGCCGTGTGTTAGTCGGTAGGACGCCCCAACCCCCAGGAGGCCCATGGTCCCTGCACCTGCTGGCTGGCTGTGCTGCCCCATGGTGCATGCCAGGCCTGGGCACTCCAACCTTGTACAGCCATGCAGGGTGGAGTGGCTCCCTGGCTTTGCATACAGTCTCTGCAGGGGGGAGGTGGGATCTCTGTTCTGTTTGTGCCAGTGGATCTAAGGATCTGTGTGGGCTCCCCTCTCGGAGCAGCGCCACTAGCCCGCTTCCTTCCTGTGCAATGCCATAGCATTGGCACGTGGTGCCATGCAGGATGCTGCTGTGCCCTGGCCCAATCCATGGGCTGCTGTAGGTGACTGGGGCAGTGGCAGGGGGAAGCCGTGGAGGTGTCTAGTTCTGCACATCACTGAAGGTGCGATCAGTCCCCCTCCACTGCAAACAGAACAAGCCGAGAGCAGCTCCTTCCCCCAGAGCCCAGCCACTCCCTTGCTTCCTGCCAGCGGGGCCAGCAGCAGCCACTTGTGGGGCTTGGGTTCCAGGGCACAGCTCTCCTGCTGCCAGCTCTGTGCTCGACCCAGGAGCTGACTCACCGTCCTGCAGTGTCTAGGCAGAGGGTGCATGTGCATTTGCCAACGCTGGTGCTAGCAGCATCGGGAGCCCCAGCGTAGGGTACTGCTGGCGCCACTTTGGTTTCTAACACCACGTCTATCAGGCCTGCGCGGGGCAGAGATAGACGATCGTGCTAGATTTCCAGCTCTGTGTTGGTGCCCCTAGCATTGCAAATCCTGCCACAGCTGGCATTAGCCGCGCTGAAAGGGCAGGTCCGTTTCTCAGCAGAGCTAACACCAAGGCAGCTCTGTGTCCAGCTGAAAGTGCAGGGAGGCCAAATGGACTCCTTGAGCCGGGATTCCTTCGGGCTGTGAGCCCTAGCGCTGGGCGGCTTGCAGATGGAGTCGGCCCTGAGAGCTCCTCTGAGCACCGGCACTCGCAACCTCTACCTTGCGTCTGAGTGATCCGTGGCCCACCGCAGCACAGCCCTGGGACGCTGTATCTGGGAGCTGGTTTGGGTGGAAGAGCGCCAACCCCACTTCCTGCCACACTGTCATTTCCACACAGCCGTAGACCACGCCCAGCCCAGGGGAGCTTGGGAGAGATGACGGCCTTAGCCTGAGCGGGGCTGGTGGATTTGAACGGCGCCTGCTCGCTGCCCACTTGGTGTAATGACATGGAGCTGTGCTGGCCTCTTAGTTAATTGCTAGTTCAGGCCTGGGAGCTCTTGGGGAGAGAATGAGTTCTTCTGGTGTCTGGAGCTTCCTGAAGTTGCATTCCCAGCTTAGCCCTGGCAGGGGCCTTTGTTTTCCCTGACGCGCTTAAAACATTAGTGGTTTGGGGTTTTTTTACAACTAGAACTTTCTCAATAAGCGTCTAGGAAACCAGCGTCTGGTGCGTAATGGGGGTGGGCACCAGCTGATCCGCCCCGCTGGAACGCCGCTAACCGCAGGGCCCAGCTGGGGGCCGTCTGCTGAGTGGCAGCCAGCCAGAGCTGGTTAACAAGAGGTAATCCTCTGCCCTTCCTCTGGAAAGAGACTTTTTGGAAATGGCGGCGGGGGGAGGGTGTCTGCGTCTCACTGCCTCTGGATTGAGTGGGCTCAGCTGGCAATAAGCAGAAGCGGTCTCTGCCAGGGTGTGGAGGGGCCCTCCTCGTGGTCTGGGATCCCCAGGGAGCCTGCCCTGATACCTGTGAGCCCAGGCCATGCCCCCGGTTTGCACAGGTGCCGCTGGCTGGAAGGCAGGAAAGAGCTCTGGAGTGCTCTAGCTGCCCTTCCCCATGCGCCAGCTGAGCTCTGCCAGCCCTATAGACTCCAGCCCACCCCCAGAGCTGGGCTGGCCCTGCAGAGCCAACAGGGGGACAAAGCAGACATCTGTTTTCAGTTGTGTTGGTGGGCAGGGGAGCTGGTGCATGCACAAGCGAGCAGGAAGGGGCCATTTCACATAGTCCCTTTTCAGAGCAGAACCAGGCTTTTTAACTTGGGCTTTTCATCTTGAAAGCACTATGCAAACATTAGCCCTCGCCGGTCCTGCGAGCTAGGCCAATGGTATTTGACTGGGGAAACTGAGGCATGGAGGTTGTGCTTTACTCAAAGCCACAGCAAGTCAGGACTGGGACACAGGGGTTCCCGACTCTCTGGCCTTTGCTCAGATTCCCACCACCACCACCACCTCTGTGGCTGTAGGGGGGTAAACAGGGTTTTGGAAGCTTCTGGCCATGCCTGGGGCCCAGAGTGTGTTGGGGCTGGCTGAGTAGACAAGGCCTTTGCATTGGGCTTGGGCTAAGAGACCATCTGCAAAGTCCTAGGATGAAACAAGCTCCTCTCTTCCCTACCTCGCTGCGCTGCCATTGCTCTGGGCAGGGGCTGCACAGCTGTGTGACTGCACTGTCAGAGTGGCATAGCCTCCTGCCAGTGCTCCCCTCCCCTCGCCCCATCTCCTGCACCGCAACCAGAGATGACAGGGTGCAGAGTGGGGGCTGTAGCGCTTCCCAGCCCCGCTGCACCCAGCTGTGTTCCTGTCACTGGGAATAGTGCATCCTCCCGAGTTCGACTGGCCAGCAACTTTCTGCTCGGAAAAGTGACTGTGTGAAACCAGCCCCTTCCTGTGGCACAAACTGGCCCAGAGCTGTGCCGTTAGTGCTCCCGTGGGCCTGCACGGCCAGCCCGGCTCGGGGGAAGGAGCTGAAGCCTGGTCCGCTTCATGCAGCAGCAGCGGCATTGCTTGCTGAGCTCAGTGACACATGTGCAAACCCAGTGAAGGTCACGGGAGAGACTTCATTACTGGGGCTCAGCGAGACGTGAGGAACCCAGCCTGGCTGTTGGTTCCCAGCCGGATTATGCAGGGCTGGCAGATCAAACTCGTGTGTAAACTGAGTCCCGGAACGACCCAGGGGTGCCCTTTTCAGTCACTGCACAGAGCGGCTCTGCAGTGCTGTGCAAATAGTGATCATTGGGTCTCCTTTGTGTTTTTCAGAGCATCCAGGGTCACGAAAACAACAAGGATTCCAGGCTGCTCTGGATGAACGCCAGCGATTACGTCCTCTCCGTAGGATTCAGCCAGGTATGGCCCTCTGCTCGCCCCGGTGCCCTTAGCTAGGATTGTTCCTTCACTGGGGCTTTCCATCACCTCTCTCCTGCAGAGCTTGTGCAGATGGTGCCGTGAGTCCTGCTGGTCACTCTGTACGTCCCTCCCCACTGAGGGGCAGCTGGTTCTGTTGGGGAAGCCAGCTCGCCTGAGAGCGAGAGCAAGCGCAATATTGGCAGAGCGCTGCGCCCACTTCTTGGGCTTTCCATGTTCCCTGGCAGCGGTAGCAGCCAAGTAGAACAGCCAAGCCGACACTTCGTCATTTCCCCTCCGAGGGGCTGCCTGGAGCTCTCACCACCTGGGGAGAATGAGGAGACGAGGTGGCCCTGCCAGGGTTTGAACCTGCAGATCTGAGGGGGCTAGGGCTCTGAGCAGGGCTAGACAACACCGAGCCCAGCTCCCCTGCGCTGCCTGCTTCTGCCATATGCTGCAGTGCCGAGCTGCGCTGCTTTGAGCACACCAGGAGGAGACTTGCGGGAAGGGCTAGCGTGGCCAAGCCCACGCTGCGTTGGAGCAGGGCGCACTGAGCGGGAAGCTAGTACTGAGCTCCGTCCCCAGTGGCCGTGTGCAAGCGAAAGCCCCTGAGCTCAGTGAGTGCTGCCGTTTGCTTGCAGGGTCATGTGCCAGGCGATTACTCTGAACGCAGCCTGCGTGCCGGGATCTGAGTGCTCCCGCTGGCCTGTGCACAGAGCGACAGCTGCTGACCCATCACCGTGCCCATATTTTCGCCCTCCTGGCCAGCAGGATGGAGCTAGGGAAAACGACAAAGTCCATTGGGAGTAGTTAATCCCGACCTGTGGCAAGCAAGTGAGCAGCGAGCCCGGAGGAGCAGGCTCACCACTGCCCACTGAAGCAGCAGCCGGGGCAGGCTTGAGAGAAACAGCTTGGAGTCGGCCTCCGTCACCTCTCGGCTCTCCTGGCCCCTCTCACCCCACTGCCCATCCTTGGCACCACTGAGTGCTGCACTGAAGATGGCCAGGAGCTGCAGGGCTTCACCCCTTGGTATCTGCCTCTCTGCCAGTGCACTCCACGGGGATGGATTCCCCTTGGAACAGTGCCTGATGGGCGGCCGAGCCTGCCATGTGCCGTGGAAGACGGTGAAGGCCGATCAGATGCAGGAAGAGGGCTCCAGGCAAAGCCCTCGCTGTCTAGGGAGCTCATTCCCCTGAATGCAGTACATATGCAATGCACCTTATCAGGGTCCCCTCTCCTCGGGGGAGGTGTTCATGACTGCCTGCCCAGGCTGCCTGTCCCTTTCAGAAAGGGAAAGAGAATTGCATGCTTTCGCTGCCTGCTCACCCACACAGCATAGCCCAGGGCTCCCCTATGCCCGTTCCAGGATGCACTGGGGTTGCCCATGTTCACTTTTGTCCAGAACTTGCTGCTTTTGAGTCCTGTGTGGAGGTGGTTCCCTGGTGTCTCACCCTACAAAAAGGCTCCTGCTTGTGTCCCCTTGCTGGGGGTTCAGCATGAAAGCCCCTGCCCTGCAGCCCCCCGGATCTAGTCCCTGCTCCTCAAAGCCAACCGCCATTCGGCCTGCAGCTTCTGTGATGGCTGCTCATTCCTGCATGTGGGCCTGGGGGAGGGAAAACCCCAAACGGCAGGGGGAGCCGCTCTGGTTTGATCTCACTGGGAGAGAGAGTGACCCCTGCTCCGTGTGTTCCACGCGGGACTGGCTATGCCTCTAGGGCCGTCTCATTGCCACCTCTGGCTGCAGCAGCTGCTGGTACTGCCCCCAAAGCACCGTGGCTTGGAGCCCAGCACCTGGCCATGTGTGTGTCTGTATGCGCACGTGTGTGTGTGTGTGTGTGTGTGTGTGTACATGTACACAACCAATAAGCATGTGTCTTTCTGCTCTTGCAGATGAGGGAGCGTGAGGTGAAGCTGTGGGACACACGGCGATTCAGCAGCTCGCTCGTCTCCTTCGCACTGGACACCTCCTCAGGGTAGGAGCGCGGCTCCCGGTCCCGGCATTGGGGGTGGGATTGATGGGCCGTGCTGCTGACAGTTACTGGGGTGGGGGGCTCTGAGCTTGGTCTGTGCTGTGTGGGGTTGGGTTTGCATCTGGCCGAGCCAAGAGGGATGTTCCCAGTGAGACGTGCCAGGCTGCAGCTGCCCATTGTAAGAAGGCAGCCGGCCCCTTTCCGGGCCTGGGGGCAGAGCCCCTCCAAGCACGGATGCTTGGGCCTGGGCGGGGGATGATCAGCCCCAGCTGGAAAGGGGCAGGCGATTGCCTGATGGGCGCACGAAGGTTGGGGGAGCTGCAGGAAGCAGGCTGGGCCCTGTGGCAGGCCCTGCAGCTGGGTGTCCCAGGTGGGAGGTCTGGGATGAGCTGCCGGAGCAGGGAGGGGAAGGAGCTGTTGGGTTGGTGTTGAACCGTTGGGGTTGGGGGGGTGCAGAAGATGGTTGGTGCAGCCCATGAAGGGGCCTGAGCAGACTCTGGGCGTGGTGTTAGCCAGGCCAATAGCCCACTCGTGTGTCCAGAGCCCCCTGCCGCGAGAGGCAGTGAAAATGCACGCGGTGGCTTGTAACTTTGGCATTGCCGGCACTGGGCATGAACAGACGCTGGCTGCCCACTGGAAATGCCCCGGTGCTCCAGATGTGCAATCGCTTTTCCTCCCCCGGCAACGCCCGGCTGTGTGGGGTGAAGAGTGGGCACTGGGGGGGTGGAGTGGGGGAGATGTTGGTGCCAGGGGAGGTGTGGCAATACCGGGGAGGGGCGTGGGGGAGATGTGGGTGCCAGGGGAGGTGTGGCAAAGCCAGGGGAGAGGGTGGCACTAGAGGCAGGCCTGGCAATGCCAGGGGGCGGAGTGAATAGGACACAGGTGCCAGGGGAGGATGGGCCCAGTGCAGCAGCGCCCGGTGAATGACGCCAGTCTCTGCTTGCTTCAATGTCAAGGGGACACTGACACAAGGAGGGGGGTGGTCTCCCCGGCTCCCCTGTACTTTCTGCTCGGGCAGCGCTGGATAACATCTTCTCTGCATGCTCCATGTCATGCTGCTCACTGGGATCCGGGGGCAAACCTCCAGTACCTCCCGCTCTGGGTCCCGGGCAGGAGAGGGCTGGGGAGGCCGGATGCCAGGGGGAAAGTGCGGCATGTGGCAGGTTTCCTCAAATCTCCTTGGCTGGGGAAACTCCTCGGGGGCAGATCTCTCTCCTCCGGCCTGTGCAGCCAATTCATGGCGCTCTGGCTGTTCAGAGACGCCCCCGACCGTGCACACAGCTCTGGGCCAGCATACGGCAAAATCCCCCTGTGGGGTCACCTGGCCATGGCCCGGCGGGTGCCAGCAGAAATTCCGCCATGTCCGGGGACATGCTCAGGGTACCCTACTGAAGCCCCAGATCAGTCTCGCAGGGGCCAGTGGCTCCAGGAGCAGGCTGCAGTCATATTGTCCTCCATTCCCTAGAGCAACTGCCTGGCTTCTCTCCCCTTCGCCCCGGGAGTGGCTTATGTAGGACCACGAAATTCAGTCCGACTGGAAGTTCTGGAGCGAGGGTGCCTTGGGAGGATGCACACCCCTTGCCCCTTCTGTTGGGAATGCTGGGCAGGGTCGAGTCACTGGTGACCCTTGCACTTTAGTGGTGCCAGTGGGGGCACTCAGCCGGGGGAAGGTGCCGGGGTCTGGGAAATGCAGGTAGTTGGATGTTTGGAGAAAAGGAGATTCCATGGGGCGAGTGACCCAAATCGCCAGCTCCCTGCTCTGTTCTGTGTGTGGGTCTGTGTCCGCCCGTCACCCGAAGACGCGTGCGGTGATTTGGGGGTGCACATGGCGTTTGCTCACCCCCTGCTTGTGGGCTGTTTGGGAAAGGCGTGTTCGTGGCCTTGGTGGGTCAGCGCTCCCCCAAAAAGCCGTGAAGACGGCTACGCCATCAGGACTGCAGATATGACTGTGCTCCCTTCAGCCTGGCGTGACCTCTCCCACGCTGGGTTGGATTTATGGCCTTACAGAGAGCAGCAATTAGAGAAGGAAATTCATCTGCAGGGGAGAAAAACCCACTCTGAAGGGAGGGCCAGGTGAGCTGGGGGGCTCTTGCCCTGCCCCCAAAGAAGGGATTGCAGCAGGGCTGGTCGGTTTCCCTTTGCTTGTCAGTTGCATGCTTGGGCTCTCTGTGCTAATGAGAAGTTTCAATTTCTGGGTTAACACTGGTCCATTGAGCAGACCTGCCTCCCATGCCATCTCCTTGCTACCCTGCTCTCTGTCCCACAGGCGTGCAGGGCATATGTGGGCATGGGGCTGGATCCCACGAGGTTTAGGAACATCTCCGCTTTCCTGGGTGACCATCTAGCCTTGCAAGGGCTGCTGATATGCTCCGCTCCATTGCTCCATCACCAGCAGGCCGGGGTAATGGCTTCCTCCCTGTCCTTCTGGCTGGGCTCTCAGGTAGGCATCCTGTAGCCCCTTGCCCGGAGATCCAGGATTTGTTCCCCTGTTTGAAGTTGGAGACGCAGAGTCAGGCAGGAGAGTTGGGGGTTCCTCTGGGTACACGTCTGAGTTTATTTCTCTGTTGCTCTCTCACTCCAAGCCAGGCTCCTCTACCCCAAGCTGCTGGGGAGCTGGGTCGTGGGTGCTAGGCAGGCTGAGGCATCTGGCATTATGCCTCAACAGTCTCAGCCCCTGCAGGGACCACAGTCCAAAGGTGAACAGCCCGGGTCCTACAGGAGGGCAGACTGATCCTGTCTGGCCTTGGAATCTCTGCATGGATACAGTATCTCCCCTTTCCTCCGCTCCCCATGCTTAGGATAGTGCTAGACTCTGCCCTCTTCAGTGGCTGGAGGGTGGCCAGTGTGGGGCTGTGTATGGATGCTGGTCAGTACCCGGCCCACGTCTGGGATAGCAATGGCTGGTGCCAGGCTTCAGAGTGGGGGCTGGGGCTGGATGCAGCAGGGGGGAAAGGTAGAGTGTCCTGGGGGCAACCCCCTGCGTACATACAGCTGGTCATGGTGGGTGCTGCCTGGCATGGTGCCCATTCTAGGAGAGGTCAGATGTGCCTGTCGTGCGTGCGGGGGAGCCAGGGCAGACTCAGCTCTGGTGCCAGGGAGTGGGCTGGTGAATTGGCGTCGCGAGGGTGTCCCGCCAGCACAGCACAACAGCAAGGGCTGCCGTCCGTCAGGCGGTTCCTGACATGAGCAGCATAGGATCATCCTACTTCCTCCCCTAGCAATGGTTCTCCCTGCTCCCTCCCTGTGTCTCCTGGGCACAGCATTGCTGCCGTGGCCGGGATGGGAGGCAGCCCCGGGAGCACAATGATTAACGGGTGCTGTCTCGAGCCTTGATTGAGGCATCTGCGGGGAGTTGTGGGGAAGGCACGGTTGGATTCCCCCTCCTGTTGACAAGCATTTTGGGTGCATCCATCAGTCGTCGCTTGGCACAGGTCACCTCGGGAGCTGCCCCGGTCACTCTTCAGGAAGAACGGGCCCTTGGGCTGAGCTCTCCCCCACCCTGCTGCACAGGAGGGAAAGGGGGGTGCAGGGCAGTAGGACTCGGGCTGTTTGCTGTGTCAGCACAGTGACCATTCCCGGGGGCTCTGCCTTGTTGCTGTCTCAGGCTGGGCGCTGGTCTCAGGTGATCTTGTTCTCTCACTCTTCCCGTCATTCTAGCTCTCCCACGCTATATCCCTAGTGTCTGTTCTAGGCAGTTCTTACTTCAGGTGCTTAAAGGGGATGATGGGAGAGACTGCACAGTAAATCATTCCTTCCCTGAATTCAGGGGTCAGAGGTATGGGGGTTGTTCTCCCAGGCTCCACCCACAAGCTAGGGCACTCGAGAACTCAAGCTGCCCCTCACAGCAGACCGAAGATGGTCTCTCCTTTCTCATGTGCTTTGATCAGCAGTGAAATAGCTGACACATAAAACGTTATCATTACACCTCAGAGTTAACACTCATCTTTAAATTACCTGGGTGGGTCTGGTGTTGTGGGTCTCATTGGGAAGCCCAAGGCTTTGGGTTGGGGCTCCCAAAGCTGCAGGGAAGGTTAGACCCAAAACATCCACTAATGCTTGAAACAATCAGAATAGCTGTGCTGTGCTCTGTGGGTCTGGCGGGCCCTCTTTCTAGACAGCCTCCTTTGGCGTGCGAGGAGCGGCGTCTGGAAGCGGAGAAGTGTTCTGTGTGACTGGATTTTGGTGGAATTGAGTGAGGATCCTCGTCATCAGAGCCAGCTCTGCCGTTCCCTGCAGGAACACAAGGGGGCGCTGGGAGGGTGCTGACTGTAGGTGCCAGGCCTGTAGGAATGGGCACCACTCGGGCTGATCTCGCCTGCTGCTTGGAGACCTTCTCCAATGAGGCATCTCCCGCTCCTTGGGGTAGCCAGAGGAAATAGCTTGGCAAGAAAGTACAGCACTGAGGCTCCTGCTTCAAGGGGCCCCCTGGCTCCAGCAGGAGAGGGAAGGAAATGCCCTCCAAAATCACACTCAAGCCCGTAATTTGCCAGGTGTCTGCACAGCCCAGCAGGAAGCTGGGTCCCCGCGCACAGGGCCAGAAATGTCGGGAGCTGCTGGCTCGGACACCTCACAGCTCAGCCAGAGGCTGGAAGATGCTGTTAGTGAGGCCTCTCCCCAATTACCTCCTGGACAGCACCGCTCCCCTTGCAGGCTGCTCTGTGCTGCTGGGATGGCTGGAACCTCTGCTCCCCATGCCCAGCATAACTGGGCACCCTGCTATTGCTACTGTCGCTCAGATGGCTGCCTGGCATCCTCCTTGCACACCCTGGGGTGCTTTCTGCGGGCACCCAGGGGTATCACATGCCCGCATGCACAAGGGTGCTGGGCACTGCTGTCTGTTGTGTATTCTATTGCTCAGTCCTTATTCTACAACACCCCATTGAGAACTCACTTCCCAGTAAAGGGTTGCTTGCTTGTGTCGACTGCAGATCTGGCTAAGGAGCTTGTCTTAGTAGAAGAAATTTGCATTAGTAAAAATCTCTGAATGTTCCTTTGGCTGCTGA